AAGTGTGCATGTGTTCGTGTGTGCTGAACAACAACAAAGAAAGATTGGTGGATGGAAGGCTAGAGAGATTGAATTTCTTCACCTTTCTCTAGTTCTGATTAAGCTCTTGGCCGCTAAATGATTTGATAAAGAAAAGGAAGACAAATTCGTGCTGTAAGAATCCGAGACAGAGAATGTTTTTTTCACCCTCACTATACAATATGCCATTGTTTCTGATAATATGTTACATTGGAATGCAGCTTATCTGGTCTGGCACTGAACACTGAGAACACACTGTTGTGATGTTACAAATCACTTCCAGGCTTTATTTAGAAATGATTGGGTTTGTTCCATATACAAGAAGATAATTGTATGAAAGTAGGTACAGATTAAAATCAAAGCAAAATAAGTCTCAGCGAACAATACTGTATAAGCTCATTAAAAGTATTACTTAAAGCATTTTGAGTAATTAAAACATTTTTTTTCTCACTGAGAAGATCATCCTAAGACAATTCACATTTTAATGTAAGGTCAGTAGGTTGTGCCATTTATTAATTTGCATTTTACAGGCAGACCTGGTCCAGCTGGACATACTTTGACATGGGCAGAATTGCCTCAGTTCATGAATTCTGTTGCTGGCAAACCCACTTTGGACAGACACATTTAATACGGACAATTTTGAACTAAATATTTGCAGTTGAGGAAGAAGAAGTAGCCACAATCATAAAAGCACAGTTCCCATAACTTATCAAATTGAATCCATTGATGCATGATTACATATATTTGTCACCTGAATATTTATTTGTTTAATCAATTTGTAAAGCCGCTCAGCAGATTCTGGATGGCAAATAATATGAAAAATAAATAAATATTAGAAATTTAGAAGGAAACTTAGGGAGTACCAGTGAAAAAGGAAAAATGGGAAATTTTATAAAGAATAGTCCCACTTCCTATTAAACAGGGACCTGAGTAACAGTTATAAATATTTTAAAAATTAATGTTGAAGAGATAACTTTAGGACTGATCTTGCCATTTAATAGGATGACGGGGGACATATAAAGGCAAGCAATGAGATCTGAAAGAGGCACTGAGAAAGATGTTGATCCTAGTATATACAGTATATATGGAAGAAGATCCCCATGTAGACTTTACTTCAAGCAGTAAATTATCTTGGACTATTATGGAAGATTTGATTCAGGAAGGTATAAGACATTATTCAGAAATAAAGAATAAATAAAAAAGGCTATGTGAGTATCAGTAGCCCATAGATCAGGGGTGTCAAACTCGCAACTTCACATGACGTATCGCAACTTATCACAACTTTTTTTTGCCAGCAATGGGGTGGGCATGGTTTCCTCATGATGCATCTAGTCTGCGGGCCGGCAGTTTGACACCCCTGTCATAGATGATAAGTAATGAAGCATCTCATTCTATCTACAGTGAGAATATAGACTTATTCCCAGCATCACAAAAATGGTTCTCTCTTTCAATCAGGGTTTATAACAGGAAGGTATATGAAAAACAATGTTAGACAAATTATTAATCTATTAGAATACTTAGATAAGAACAACCAAGTTCCTGCAGGGCTCATATTTTTAGATGCTGAAAAAGCATTTGACCAATTGAATTGGCATTTTATGCTAAGAGTAATGGAAGAAATGAATTTTGGTGAAAACATATTACAACCCCTTAAGGTAATATATCAAAAACAAACAGCACAACTTATTGTTAATGGAGGTCTTTCGGAGGTTTTCACAATAGAGAAAGGTACTAGACAGGGGTGTCCTTTATCGCCATTGTTGTTTGTTTTAACATTGGAAATATTATTGATCAAAATTCGAGAGTCTCAGGAAATTAAAGGAATATATGTTAATAAAAAAGAATATAAGTTAAGAGCTTTTGCGGATGACTTGGTTGTTACTTTGTCGCAACCTGATTATTCTGTAGTAAACTTATTACAGTTGATTCATCATTATGGTTTGGTCTCGGGTTTTAAGATTAATGTAAATAAGACCAAAATTTTACCTAAAAATATGTCTAGTCAGGAGAAGCAGATTTTGACTAACCTGACGGGTTTTGAGATTGTTAATAAGGTAAAATATTTGGGGGTGATGTTGTCTGTTTCTAATGTAAAATTATTTAAAAATAATTATGAAAGGTTGTGGGTCAGGGTACAGAAGGACTTGAAGAACTGGGAAAAGTTGCAATTATCCCTCATGGGAAGAATTGCAGTGATAAAAATGAATATTTTACCCAAGTTTCTTTTTCTGTTTCAAATGTTACCAATTTTGAAAAATGAGATTAATTTAAATGAGTGGCAGAAGGGTCTTAATAAATTTATCTGGGCAGGGAAAAAGCCAAGGGTTAAGTTTAAAATTATGCAAGACTTCCGTGAGAGGGGTGGACTTAAGGTACCAAATTTGAAATTATATTATGATGCGGTGGTTTTAACACTAATCAGTGATTGGGTAAATTTGACAAATTCTGAGATACTTTATCTAGAGGGATGGGACTTACTTTATGGGTGGCATGCCTATTTAATATTCAATAAAAAAATGGATTGGGCTTTTAAATCTCATATCTTAAGAATTTCTTTACTTAGGATTTGGAGAAAATATTATAAAAGTGATTTCAAAGTACCATTATGGGCTATACCTTGGCATGCGATAGAAGCAATAAAAAGAGGGGTTAAAATGGATATGGTGTCTTACAGACAGTTACTTAAATGGGATGGACAAAACTGGCAATTAAAATCACGGGAAGAGTTAGCACAAGAAAACTTTATTTATTCTTGGTTCCAATATAGGCAATTATTAGACAGATGGAAGATGGATTGTAAGGTGGGTTTTCTTAGAGAAGATGAAAATCTTATCAAGCAAGTGAAGGATTCAAGACAAACCCACATTAAGAGAATTTATGCGGTTTTAGTTGAATTGGATTCAGAAACGGAACTAATTAAAGATTGTATGATAAGATGGGCGCAGAATTTTGGTGAGCCAGTCTCATTGGACACCTGGGAAAATATTTGGGTGAGAAATGTCAAATTTACACAAGCACAGAACTTAAGGGAGAATTTTTATAAAATGTTTTATAGATGGCACCTTGATCCACAAAAAATGTCTTATATGTACCCTGACGTGCAACCCAAATGTTGGAGATGTGGTTATAAGGAGGCTTCCTATTATCATATTTGGTGGTCATGCAGAGAGATAAAAGCATTTTGGATCAAAATATGGTGGAATATCCAGAGAATTTTTAGAAGGAGGGTAAAATTTACTCCGCAATTATTTTTGTTAGGTATTGTTACAGATTGTGATACAAAGGAGGTTGTTTTGATGTTAAATTTGATTACAGCCGCTAGGCTGTTAGTAGGACAATATTGGAAGAAGGAATCTTTGCCTACATTGCAGGAATGGTTTCTTAAAGTAGCTTATCTGGCGGAAATGGCAAAGATTTCGGCTTTCTTAAAGCAACAAACGCAAGAGAAGTTTCTTGCTGTTTGGGATAAATGGATAAAATTTATACAATTTAGATTGGGTATACAAAAATATTATATAGTTTTTTCATAAGTTTTATTTTCATATATATTATAGATAATCTTTTTATATATATAAATATAAAGTTCTTAATTTAATTTTTATTTTTACTTCTTAAGCCTATATTCTGCTCTGGGAAGCTCAGGGGGGGGGAAGGGAGGGGGGGTGTTTTTTTGGGAGGGGTGGGGGGTGTTTTTTTTTTTATATATATGTATTGTTTAGTTTTATTTTTTTGTATATGTTGTCTCTAGTTTTGTATTCTTTTTTCTTTTTTGTAAAATTTATAAAACTTTTAATTAAAAAAAAAATGGTTCTCTTTATTCACTGCAGCTCTATGCTAAGGAACATTAGGCTGTAATACTGCTAGTAGGGTTGGTAGTTAACCTGCATTGTCTTTTGACTTTCATAAGACTGTAAACATGTTATCTAAATTTAGAAACATACTTGTAACTCACCTTCCTTATAAAAATTGTCCATTCTTTTGTCTCATTGTCTATATAGCATCCTTTTGTTGATGCTTGGCAATTTATCCAGAAGACCCCCATAATAATGTGGAGGCAGACTAATTGATCATTGAAGAAGAATACTATCTTACTCTTCAACTCTTCTGTGGTATAAAATATAGGATATCTCTTTTCCTAGTGTAAGCATAGTATACCTGAGTTTTAAAAATGAGATCTTCATTTATAAATGTAAATTTTCCCAAATGTTCTTTGTTAGAAAGAAGAAATGATTTTGAACCTATCCTTGATGCTCAAGTCTGAATTAATGGTGTATAAAATATGCCTTATTAGTCCCACCTCCACTATGCAAATTAGAAATGACATTGACAGCTCATTGGCTGCTGCCTGTTATTTCAAGATATACTATCATAATGGGGGGCTAGAGTCTTCAGGAACAACACTTGTAATATGCATTTCTGACTTCTGCATTAATAACCATGTATTTTGACTTCATCAATAAGCAGCAACAGAAAATCAACATAACCAGTTTCTTATGGGAAATCAACATGGATGATAAGTTATATACCACTAGGCCTATTGTTCTCTTCTTTTTCTCCACTGCTGTTGGGGACTGCTTTTGCATTAAGATTTGTTCCAGGCCCTATAAAAAATAACTCATATAGTTATCAAAGAATAGTTCCCCCCCCAAAAAAAAAAACCAAATTTGGACAGTATTTGATACCTGTTCCTGGTAGATACATGGGAACATCAGATGGAAATAAAACTCATAGGCAGAGACTGGGTTTGTGAATGTTTCTTTGTTCCAGGTTAATCATTCATAGAATATAAAAACCTGACGTTTAGCTATGGTAGTTGTTTATCTGTCTATTCAGAGTTGTAAGTGCTTCCCACTTACCTATTCACTCACTACAATCAGAAGCAAAATGATCTGCTGCTGCCTAATCCTTTAACACTGGAGAGGTCAGGGACAAAATCCAGAACTTTTTGCATGTGAAGTTTGAGCTCTGTGAGCTAGCTTTCTCTACAACTTTAACCTAAAAGGCCAAATGCATTGACAGTTCAAGAATTAACAACAACAACAAAAAAAGGTGGGGGGGAGGTTGGAGTCATCAGTGAATGCAAAGGACATTATTCCAAGGTGCCTGGGAGGAGAAGAAACAATAAGATGATCAATGATGTTCTGAAGAAGAAGAAAAATTAGGTTATACTTCTCAATATGGATTACAATTTGTAATGTGCTTCAGAATTTCAGGATGAGACCTGGACTAAAAAAACCCTCTAGGTTTCCAATTTATTATATAACAATGGGTCTCAGGAGGACAGCAGAGTGTCTGTGATATATTTGGCTTGATGCTGCTGGGTCCTGGAGCTCTGTATTCTAACTCACATGAGGCTGCTATTAACATCTTATTGCCAATTATAGGATGGTGTCTTCTTCCCTAGACATGACCGGTTGATGAATCTTAGAGAAGAATCCTTTTAAAGAGATTCTTGTACCTGTAGGTGGATTATGGATGCCAAAAAAGACTTCAGCAATAGTGAAGAGATTGATATAAGTGTGAAGCCTAGTACTTTGGGATGTTATGTAACTCAGGGTAAGTTTATCACAGATTATAGAAATGAGTTGTCTATATTAACTGCTATATTTCCTCCAACAGGAAACCAAAGCCATTTTCTCCCCTGGAGATAATTTCTGCTTTCCCTCAGAAGCCACATTTTTGCTTCAGTCTTACTTTTTTGTACTATCTGACACTTTTGGGATTTGTAATCCAATTAATGGGGAGGAAACAAGATGTGAAATGTTGTCTCATATGGATATAAAATATTTTGTGATTTACACTAAGGCAATTTGAAGTGACTTAAGCGTAGTACTCTGTATTCAAGTATGGTTTCTGGATTTATTTTCTTTCTTTGATGGATCACCTCAGTTTGACATTTTTATGCTGATTTTATTTTTGTGGCTTTTATTCTAGCAAAATGAAGGCTGGAACAATAAATAGAATCCAAGAAATTAAAGCAGAAGACATCCTATACCACAAACTAGTTCTGATATACTACTGAAATAAAAACAGTACTGGAGCAAAAGATCCAGGACATCTCTAAACTCTTGGTGTTCTTACTTGACCAGTGGGCATGTCCATCTTCTTTGCTGTTTCTAGACAGGACCTAACATTCCAACTTGGTTTTGTTTCCCCATCCTGACAGGTTTGATGCAGCTCTATAAGACCCAAAAGTTTTGTGATGCCATCCTGGTAGCCGAAGGCAAGCATTTCCCATGTCACAGGTGTGTTTTCTGGATTTAGAGATCTCATAGTTTTTAAATATTGTCCTGAAAAGCCAAGTCATGTTATATGTAATCTGCAATCAGGTGCTTTATCCAGGATTGTAAGATAGATAAACTAGGGCTGAGAACATATTAACAGCAAGATGTTGCAGTTCTAGGCTGCAGCTGCAGAATCTATGATACTCTTTGTCACAATGGATCTCCCCATATAATTTCCCTTATAAGCCACTCAAAGCAATTCAAATACTTACTTCTAGGCAGCTCGTGCTCCTGTCAAAGCTTGAGTTATTTACTTTTGGCTAACAAACTTTTTTTTGTAAAATTAGCATAGCATAAATCCCATTCCTCCTCCTAATAATTGAGATTTATGTAAATGAAATATAATTAAAGTTAATAAAATTATGCCTGGTGTGAAGAAAGTGGATAGAGATACCCCCCTCCTCTTCATAGTATGAGGTTACAGGGTCATCCAATAAAAGTGATTGGCAGAAGATTCAAAGAAAACAAAGTCCTCCTTTCTATATTGCATAATTAATGTACAAATTTCATTAACACTCATTATGTTAGACAGCTTTAAAGAGGATTAGATATTTTCAGGGAAGATCAGCCAATCAATATATAAACAGTTAATAGAAAAACAGAATCTCTGTATTCAGGGGTACTAGATACCAGCTTCTAGAGGAAAGCTTCTTGTTTTCATTCCCTCGTGGTGGACTTTGAGTGACCACATTGACTGGCCATTATGGAGAAAACAGTGTTGAACAAGATGGCTTGATTAGTTTGGAACAGCATTGTCCTTCTAATTGTTCATATGCATGTATGTTTGTATTTGAATTTATCAGCCACTCAACCCCAAAGCACTATTTCAATATTTAGAAATATTGATATTAATACTGATGTTAAAATTGTTTGTATTTATCATTCTTATAATCTTGTAAAATATGGAGCACTTTAATAGTCATGGAACATATAATCAACCTTCCCAAACTTCCCAGTTTCCAAATCAGCAACACCATACTTTCCATTTTATCCAAAACCAGCAAGGCCAGTATCTCTAATGATGCAGGATAATAAAAGTTATAACACATTATTAAAGTTCTCAATTTGGCAAACTTGATCTAAAGTCTCATTCCTTCATACCGTATTCTCAGATTTGGAAAGATTAAAAAAAACATACCTATGCTAATGTTAGCTACCATTATTGAAGACAAACAATCATCTAAGGCTGGCTTTAGCATAGATTTAAGAACTCAGGAACTACATCATTCACGTCAAGGGTGCCTGTGGGGGCCTGGGCAGGAGTGGGACAGATCTGAGGGTCTCTGGCAGAAGGGTGGGACCAGGGCAAGTGTCAAGGCATGGTCCATTGGAGGAGCCTCACTGTCTGCTGAAACCCCTCTGCCGGAGCCCATCAAGCTGGATATGTGAAGTAGGCAAGGGCAATTTGCTGGCCACTTCCAGGTGATGGTGCATTTCTTCATTCCTAACAAAGGGTGACACCTCCCCAGCATGCGCCTAGGGGGTGGGGCCGACACGGCAGGGGCTGGTTCCTTGCTGTTTGCAGACGGCCTTGTGGAGCTAACACTGAATGACCACCACAAAATTGTACAGTGGCTCCCAGCTGGCCTGGACCAGGGCCAAGGCAGTGGGGGCCATTCCCTCACTGTTTCCAGGATGGCTTTGCGGGCCACATGAAACTACTTTGCGGGCCGCATCTGGCCCCTGGGCCTTGTGTTTGACATGTCTGCTATACAGTCAAAAATGTGTATCTAATGTTTAATGCAAGATCACATTCTTATTATTTTGCTGCCTCTCTTTGTAGGGCATTGTTGGCTTCGTTCAGTCCATACTTCCGTGCTATGTTCACCAGGCCCTTTAGAGAATGCTGGGAAAGGCAGGTTGTATTTGAAGACATGGCCTCATCCATCCTTCAGATAATCTTAGATTATCTCTACACAGGACGATTACTACTTACAGCAGAGATTGCACAAGATCTTTTCACAGCAGCCAACAGGCTTGTCATCCTCCCACTGCAGGACATTATTGGCAGGTAATTTAGTCTAAACAGAATAATGTTTTGGAGCTGAAATTGGGGCTGTCTGGGAAGATGGATGAATGTTTAAAAGATCTAAAAGCAAAATATCCTTCAACCTGTAAGATAAATAATATTTTTATAGAATACAATTAATTTCATATTTATTTGAGACATTTGAGCAAATAATGTGTGATGGAATATTCAGCATGACTGTCTGAATGGGTAACAATGTCTGACAAAGTAGCTATATTTATTTTGCTCGCATATATAAAGGGAGAGTTTGGAATTTCATTCTTGCCTTTAGTACTGCATCCAGTGATGGGATTCAGCCAGTTTGCACCAGTTCAGCAGAACCGGTAGCTAATTTTTTGTTGCCCAGGCACAGAATGGACTTCCAGAAGTGGCATCCACACAGAGAACCGGTTGTTCACATATTTGCATCCCACCACTGACTGCATCTTAGTCCTTCTTATGTGCCCAAAGAGTTTATGATCTTTTCATTTATGGTTGAGACAATACATGTTTGTGATATATTAGCAAAATGAATGAAAAATGTCCTAATCTATATAGGGCTATGTAATTTGTTACTATGGGCTTTGCAGAAAATATCACAAGTGCTACTACATTATCAATTAAAGTGACATCCATGTAAATACAGTCATTAAAAATTCCAGCAATCTCATAGCAGGTTATTACAGCTGATTGTCTAATAGAAATAGAATGTTTCCATAATTGAAATTGGGAAAAATAGAAGATGGATCCATAACTAGTCTTGCTGCCATCTCTATTTCTGCCTTAAAAATATGCTGCCTAAAAATGAGCAGTATTCATTCTGTGGTCCTCATCTTTCAGTTGCGATTGTATATTTCATTTCCCCCATTATTTTGGAATTTTTTCTTTATTCACATATATTAAGAGTGTCTGTGCTCTCTGATAAAAAAAAATCAAGATGACCACCATAATGGAGTGAGTGTTGCTCTGGCCATCATCTTGCTTTTTTGACCATACCTTGCAGATATCCCTGATATACATGGTTAAAAACCTCCATTTTATTCCACTCACCCCAGTCTCCTGCCTTACCTTTGCTAAGGCTTATTTTGGCTCAGGTCCTGCATTTTGCCTCACCAAGTGCTGACTTGCTACAGAGCAGCCCTCTTTTTCTATTCTGCCCAAGCATTCCTTCCTTTTACTCCATCTCCAAGGAGACTCAATTCCTAACCCCCACTTGTTCACCAAGCTTTCTGTGAAGTAAAGTGTGCTCTCAATTAATGGATTCTCTCTCCAATGAGTAATCATTCATGCTTGATGTTAAATATTTTAATCTTTTATTGACTCTGATTTAGATTTATGTTGTAGAACACTCTGAGATTAGGGTACTCAGCAATCTATGAATGTGTCAATAAATACAAATCAAAAGCAGCGTCATGAGGGGCTCGTACTTAACTGTATATGTAAGAGAGCCTGGTGGAAGGCATAAATTATTTTGCTGACCACTCCTTTGTGAACATTTTGTCTTTTTATAATTGCTACAGAAAAGATAACATTGTGCCCTTTGTCAAATGTGCCTCAGTAGTTATATTTGATCTTTAGTGAAGGGGAAAATTGGACCATGTCTGGGGGCATGGTGGATAAGCCATTCCACTAATGAATTATGCTCCTTCCTTCCTTCCTTCCTTCCTTCCTTCCTTCCTTCCTTCCTTCCTTCCTTCCTTCCTTCCTTCCTTCCTTCCTTCATCCCTCCCTCCCTCCCTCCCTCCCTCTGTCCTTCTTTTCTTTTCTTTTCTTTTTTCTTCCCTTTCACTTTTTGCACTCACTAGGTTCCTAGCTGACAGCATTTCTATGGACAGTTGCCTAGAGATTTATGCTCTGGCCTATGCTCATAATCACCATACTTTGCTCCGTGTAGCCTCACGCCACATCACCTTGAACTTTGAGCCTCTTTCTGAACATGAGTCCTTTCCAGGCTTAGATCTCAGTACAGTAAGCAGCATTGTCTCATCAGACCAACTTCTTGTTTCTTCTGAGCTAGCAGTCTACCATGCTGTGCAGAACTGGGTCAGATCTCAACCGGCTGAGCACTTCTCACTCATCAAGAAGCTGATGGAACAAGTTCGACTTCCACTTTTAACTTCTGAGGAGATCACAAGAGTCCAGAAGGATATTATTGCAGAATATGGGCATGCCCATTTACAGTGGGAGCAACTGGATGGAGTAGGAAGGTTGCTGAAGAGTGGAGGTCTCAGGCATGGCATGTATGATGACTGGATTGTGAGTCTGGGTCTCTTTGTAAGCAACATGCAAGGAGGAGTAGTAGAACGTTTGAAAACTCATTTCCTGGGGTTCAATCTACAGACAGAAAGTTGGGAGGAGATACCACCCTTGATGTATCTGGATTCCTCTGGCTTCTTGTCTGTAGGGCACAAGCTTTACGTATCTGGAGGACAAAGGCTTAATGGTTCTGTTTTATGCAATCTGCATGAGTTTGATGCTCTTACTGGAAGATGGATGCAGCTACCTTCCATGTCTGTACCTCGACGAGAACATGGTTTTCTAGCATGCAAACAGAAACTATATGCTTTGGGAGGCCGGAGTGGCCGAAGTGTGCTTGATTCTGCAGAAAGCTTTGACTTAGAAAAGAAGATCTGGTCTCCCATTGCCAGTCTACCCTTTGCAGTGAGTCATTTTGCCTCTGCTTCACTAAACAAAAAGCTCTACTTAATTGGAGGGTTCTCTCATACAAGAGCAAATGGACTTGCCCACCGGGGCATCCTGATTTACAATACAAGCTTAAATGTGTGGAATCAGATGCCATTAGCTTTTCAGTGTTACAAATCAACTGCAGTGGCAATGGACAATGGCATCTTTGTCATTGGCGGACTTGTTGAAGAGAGCAGTCGACGTGAAACTCCTGGCACTGTAATCAGAGCTCTGATTTCTGGCACCCATAAATGTTTTTTCCTGAGCAAGGATGGCACAGTGAGCCAAGATGTGGCCATCCCAGACCTTCCTATATTGGTCTTGCCACCTTGTGCTGTGCAGTGGCGGAGAAGAATCCATGTGCTGGTAGGCAATACAATTTACCAGTGGAAACCTGGAGAGCCACACTGGACAAGGAGTCGGAAAAGTGCTCCCAATACAAGAGTGACGTTTCTAACTGTGGTTAATGGAGTGACTCTGAAGGTGCCAAAGAAGACTCTGCAGCCCCTTTTACGGGAAGCCTCAGCAGCTCTGACAGCCCTTTGGGTAGCTGACAATTAGGAGCCTTTTTGGGACTTTCAAAATCTTAAGCCGTTTTTTCAGTATCTTAGAGTCATCTTCTGCCCTGAATGGAGAAGTCCACCATATCAAGCTGCTAGCCTTGATATTACAAGGGCAGATTTCTTTAGAAGCAGGATTCAGTTACACTGAAGCACTTGAGAAGGAGCTCTCTGGCCCAGAGGAGTGGACTGCTGCTGAATAAACTCCATTCCTACTTTCAACTCACTTTACTTATATAGTTGTTCTGAGTGCAATATGCAGTGCTTTTTTTCGTAAAAAAAAAAAAAAAAGGTGCCGGAACTCACACACATTATGCAACCCGCCTTGCCTACACTACAAAGTTCCATCCAAAAAAGGTGCTGGAACTCCGTTCTGGGCGTTCTATGACAAAAAAAAGCTCTGGCAATATGGTACAAGGGAAAGATTAGATGTTTATTACTGACAGAGTACTTCCCTTGGGAAAAATAAGAGGGTTTTCTCTCTCTGACATCCTGTATTTATTTCAAAATTTAGAGCTAGAGTCTACTCTGGCCTGTGTGTATTCAAAAGAAGAATAGAGGTAATTTGTGTAACACAATGTTTTGCAAGGTCCTGTTTGTAATACAGGAAAAGTGGTAACTGATTCTTAATAGAGAGTTGAAATCTATGGCTTCTGAACCATTTACCTCTTTCTGAAAAATAAAAACAGTGTGTGTTGGTGGTAAGACATCTGTTATAAAAGCCATATTTTCAAGTGATATGTTAAAACATCAGTTTAATGTACAGAAATGGGTTATAAGCCCATTATTTTTCAGGAAAATATCTTCCTAGGAAAATTAATGATGAAATCAGCTTTGTTTATTTTCCCACACCGTGATAATCTATATAAAATTACTAGTCCTTATAATTAAGGTTGCATGTCTAAAAGCAAAGGTTTTTCTCTCACTGTTTTCCATTTTGTTTCTCTACTGATGCTTTTGCTAGATTACTAACTATAATATCTGTGCCTTGTCCTACCACAACCATTTTTTCCTCCATTCAAGTGTGTCCAGTTCTTGGGGACTATCTGGACAAGTCCCTGGAGTTTTCTTGGCAAGAAATGATTTGCCATTTCCTTCTTCCAAGGGGTGAGAGGAAATGGTTGGCCCAAGGTCACCCAATACTAAGGCGGGACTAGAACTCACAGTCTCCTGGTAGTATTTAGCCTGATGCCTTAACCGCTATATCAAACTTGCTGTCACTACAATTATCACTACTACCATACCCGCACTTAAAAAGCTTAGTCTTAACTGAAAAATCAGGGAATTAACCTGTCCTGGTGGGCACATTTACAGATACAAAGTAGATATGAAAAAGATGTAAAAATGTATGGATTTTATAAGGATCAAACTGTGTTTGATAAGATTTTGTTAACCTAAGATGAGAAATTAATTAAGAAAATGTATAACTTTTTATTAATTTTGGATATGGAAAGTGAACAAGTGAAAGAAACAATGACAAAATGGGAGAAAAACTTTGGCTATAATATAGAATTAGAAAAATGGCAAATGTTATGGGAGAGAAACTACAAATTAACAATGTCAACTTCATATAAAGAAAATCTGTATAAAATGTTTTATAGATGGCACCTGCCACTAGCAAGATTAGCAAAAATGTTTAAAATATGTCAGATAGATGTTGGAAATGTAAACATAACATAGGTACGTACTATCACATTTGGTGGACATGTGATAAAGCAAAGGCCTATTGGAGAAAGATACATATGTGGTTAGAAAAAATATAGGGTGAACAAGTGGATTTTAAACCTGAACTTTTTTTACTAGGTATTATGCCTGAAAAGACTAATAAGCAGAAATTATATTTAATCTTACACATCACCACAGCAGCGAGAATAATTTTTGCACAATACTGGAAGAATGAAGGATTGCCATCAGAAGAAGAAATAATCAGGAAAATATTGGAATTTGCAGAGATGGACAGATTAACTATGAGGTTGAAAGATAAAGAAGATACAGACTATTATCAAACTTAGGACCTATTTTATTGTTGGCTAGCGGAAAGAATGAAGAATTAGGAATTGAACATGTATTAGCATAGCAAACTCCAGACAACTCATTGATTGGAAAAATTAACATATGTTTATGAAAAAAAAACCCAATAAAATCTTTATTTTAAAAAAAAGCTTAGTCTTAGATAGCATTCAGATTAACTTCTCTGTAGTATCTACTTCTTTCATAAAATGATGTGGGGCATGGCTAATTTCCAGAAGACAGAAATATAAATATAAAACAATTTCAATAGGTTACAGAATTAGGGTAAAGTAACAGACAAAAATCATTGTGCACTTGTGGACTAGAAGTCAAATCGATATCCATAGATCAGGAATATGTTGGCAATAATACTTATAAAAAAGATCTTGGAACTTAGTTACAAACTGAATCTGAGTCTGCAGTAACATGCTGCTGAAAAACAGGGTATGCAGTTCAGCAGAAGTATAGTTCCTGACTCATGGCAATAATAATTCTACTTCATTCTACATTAGTTACACCTTACCTCAAATTTTGGGAAACATACAGAACTTGAGGGGCATTCAGATGAATTCAGAAAAGAGCAATGAGGATGATCAGGGGACTAACAAAATAACAGAGTTGGAAGGGACCTTGCAGGTCTTCTAATCTAATCCCCTGCTCAAGCAGGAAATCCTATAGCATTTCAAACAAATTGATTGTCCAATCTCTTCTTAAAAACCTCGAATGTTGAAGAACCCACAGCTTCTGGAGGCAAGTCATTCCACTGATTAATTGTTCTAACTTTAGGAAATTCCTCCTTAGTTTTAGTTTAAGATTCCCTCCTTGATTAGACTAGAAACTAAGTCCTGCTAAAATATATGGAAGAAATTGGGAAGATTCCTTAACCTTGAATACAGAAGACTCAGGTCATTTCCAGATGGTAACATTAAATAGATACTGTATTTACCAATTCTTGGTCTGGTATAATAGTATGCTAGCGTATATATAATTAAATTTTATTAGATTTTATAAGGGTAAGAAAGGGATAGGTTTGATATGGGTATTGGGTAGGGTTGAGGAATAGGATTAGGATAGGTACAGTAATGGGGTTGCCCCCAACAATCATTCAATGCTTTAGCAAATGGACTATCATCCGGGTACAAATATTAAATAACAGTAATTAATATAATATTAAACAATTGTAATCACTAAAGATAGCAATAATCATGAGAGTGATAGTTAATCAGTAAATATCATTCAGCCTATTAAATTTCATGTTCCTTTCTCGCTAGATCGTATTGTTAACCATTGATAAATTTTTTCCCATGTTTTAAAATAAACTGAGTCTTCTTTCTCTTTAATCTCTAACGTTAGTCTATCCATTTCTGCACATTCTAAAATTTTCGTAATTATAATCTGGTCAGATGGTAAATTTTCATTTTTCCAAAATTGGCTAGCATATATTTTCTCATTACCTCATCTCTATTCTGAAACAGTATACCTAAGCTGGAAGTGGTTCTATCATTACTAACGTTTGAAAAAGAAAAGTAAGGAATAGGTGGATTGTCTTAGTTTCATTCCCCCTTGAATCTGACATCAAGAAAATGTGGGGTGATGCTTAGAATAGTGGATTTAGCTACTTGTCAAGTTGTCCTACTAATAGGTCTCAGGCAGAGGTGAAGAAATGCCTTCAGTGATCCTGTTTGGCACAATCCTTCCCCCACACCCAAGACTCTCAGACTATTTCCTAACGTAGGACTACCCTCATCTGAAGGAGTGTTATACCTGGACGCAGATATAGCCTAGTTGACTAATTCAAGCACAGAGGAAGACGATGGGCTAAAGTGGAGAGTAATGAAACTGAGTAAGTTCTGTTCTTAGCTATGTCTATAAGGAAATGGTACTGCTGGCAAGGAATGACCAAGGAACACAGTTCTGACCCTGCAGCCAACAGTATCTGAAAGTGCATAGTAGAAAGACACAGGGAGCACCCAGTTGTGGTTGCCTGTGCATAATAACAATAATCATCACCATGGTACCTTCTGCTGTAAAATTCAGAGTGAGTACACAAAATGGCACCAATTCTAAAGTAATTAAAATAATAAAAGTAGTTGTGTGTGTGTGTGTTTCTCTCTCTCTCTCTCTCTCTCTCTCTCTCTTTCTGTGTGTGTGTGTGTGTGTGTGTCAAAATTATATAGCTGCCCATCTTGCCAGAGTATGTCAAGTCTATATGCATTTGAAACCTCTGGTTGGAAGGAGCAACAGAAAATCAGCAATGTATTGAAAGGTGACAGAATTGGTGACACAGAACTGGCAAAATCAGCTCTCTTTTCCTGGTTTATCTAAAACCGTTCAGCAAGGACTCGCACCAGACATCTTAAAAAAGCCCAGGGGTTCTTTGCAAAGGATGGTAAACTCATGTTTATTAAGAATTTGTGTAAGACCTGACAAGCCATTTGAGAAGCACCAACCAGGCATTACACATGCAGATGCCTTTGTGGAAAGTAGATATCTGGCCTATCCTGCAACCAAGGAAACATGGCCTTGAAGGCCTGTGTCCAGTGGCGCACTCGTACCAGCTTGCAAGAACCGATTATTAAAAGTTTCTGGGATTTTTCAAGCCATATTTTTAGTATGCCAATCAGCTGACCAATGGCTAGCAGCATGACGTGGTGGCTAATGGAGCTGGCAGAGCTGGTTCTTAAACTTTTACCCTTTACCAGCACACCACTGGTTGTGTCCACCAACTAAATGAGGGGAGACATACTTGCAGCACAGCCTAAAGAAGGCAGCAGGAGCTAGGCAGATCCCAACTTTCAAAGAGATCATCAGTCACATTGTCCTCAAAGTAGGCTAGAGCGTATCAAAAAGCAGTCTAGGCCAGCCAAGGATGACTATCTCATTCTCAGTCTCAGCTATGGACTGAGAAGAGACATAGGCAGTATGAGGAGAACATGGCAGTAGAGTCAGTCACCAGGTATGTTTGCATTGTAGTTATGGGATAGTGAGGAAGAGCCCAGAGGGAGGATGCAGTAGCTCTCCTCAAATACCTAAAATGACATTGAAGGCAAAGACTTCTACAACATCAACTGAAGGAAGAAAGATTCAGCTGAATGTTAGAAAAATCTTTCAAGAAATAAGAGAAGCTTAACAGTGGAATCAAATTGGTGAGCTTCTTTTCTAACTGAGACTGGATGGACTGAATCTGGATTCTTACATGTAGCAAGATGTTGTATT